GAGAGAGAGAGGCGTCTTTTTGAGCCACTCTGCTCTGCTGGCTTCTGCCACGTAGCACCGCCCCCTCCCTCTCCATCCATGATGCGGCGGGTGGTTCTTTTTCCCTTTTCATGGCTGCATACTATTCCGTGTGTGTGCCTATGCGTGTGTGTGTGAGAGAGACACACGTCTTCTTGGGCCACTCTGCTCTGCACCACGACATGGGAATTATCCTCTAAGTAGCAGCAAGAAGAGACGATCAGTGAGGCAACACAGTACCCGGGTGGGACGGAGCCCGACGCCGCCAGTTCCTTCCCCCGACGGCCGTCAGCTCCCGCCTCACGGGCTGAGGCGCGTCCCCGGCCGCGTGCCTGAGCGCGACCCCTGCGCTCACCTGTCCCCTCTCTCTCTCTGTCCCCAGCGACCCCAACCAGCCCGTCCCTCAAGACACCAAGTTCATTCACACGAAGCCCAACCGCTTCGAGGAGGTGGCCTGGTCCAAGTACAACCCCAAAGACCAGCTGTATCTGCACATCGGCCTCAAGCCCCGCGTCCGAGACCACTACCGGGCCACCAAGGTGGCCTTCTGGCTGGAGCTGGTGCCTCACCTGCACAACCTCAACGAGATCTTCCAGTACGTGTCCACCACCACCAAGGTGCCCCCGCCGGACATGACCTCCTTCCCCTACGGCACCCGGCGGTCCCCGGCCAAGATCTGGCCCACCACCAAGCGCCCGGCCATCACGCCGGCCAACAGCCCCAAGCACGCCAAGGACCCCCACAGGCCGGGCCCGGAGGACACCACCGTGCTCATCGAGACCAAGCGCGACTACTCCACGGAGCTGAGCGTCACCATCGCCGTCGGGGCGTCCCTGCTGTTCCTCAACATCTTGGCCTTCGCCGCCCTCTACTACAAGAAGGACAAGCGGCGCCACGACTCCCACCGGCGCCCCAGCCCGCAACGCAACACCAGCAACGACATCGCGCACCTGCAGAACGAGGACATCATGTCCCTGCAGATGAAGCAGCTGGACCAGGACCACGACTGCGAGTCGCTGCAGGCCCACGACACGCTGCGGCTCACGTGCCCGCCGGATTACACGCTCACGCTGCGGCGCTCGCCCGACGACATCCCGCTCATGACGCCCAACACCATCACCATGATCCCCAACACGCTGACGGGCATGCAGCCGCTGCACACCTTCAACACCTTCAGCGGCGGCCAGAACAGCACCAACCTCCCGCACGGACACTCCACCACGCGGGTATAGCCGCGCCG